TAACTGTATGATATGAAATCAATTCAAATCCAATTCTTGTTCTGCCTCTTTATTGTTTTGTTCTGGTCCTAGTTACCTGTTTGAGTATGACCCCTGAGATGCCACTCAAAGCCAGAGGTGGCTATATGCCAACCTTTCCTAAATTGGTGCCCTTTGAACTTTGAGACCACAATCCCAGAATTCCCAGACTGCACTGCCTATAATCCAACCGGGGAAGGCTGTTATAGGTCAAAAGGTCTCAATGGGGGTAATTTACACTCTGTCCTTTCACTTTTATTTTTATTTTGTGGAGATAGTGACAGCTTCTGTTTCCCTCCTTTCTAAGGCATTTTTCTCCATATACAGAAAAGGTCATTGTGTTCTTTTTAGGATTTTGGCTTTCTGCTTATGTGACAAACATTAGAGTTTCTGCAGCGCATTGACTAGGCAGATGTCCTCAAATGCAAGAAAAGGTGCTCCTCAGAGGCAAAAGGCTTCTGTTTCTGATGATGGGAGAGAATATGCAAGGGGAAGCAAGAAGGTCTAACAGTCCTCCAGAAGATGCATCTTTGGGAGCTAAGTGTTCAGTCTTTCCCCCAGTCTGAGCAGAAATGGCCATGCAGGGCAGTGTCCAGTGATTGGACCCAAGGCAGCCAACAGGGATTGGGGAGATCCCAGCACCCGGTTGCATCCTCCCCAGCATGATCAATGGGATGGAGTCACAGATTTTTTGCATGGCAAGACTTGTATTGGAAGATCAGGGAAAATGCTGCTTTAAAACCGGAACAGCTAAATATGACTTTAAGCTGCTTCCATGGTGGACTGGGGATGACTGAAGGTGACATCATGAGAAAATTTTCTTTAAAAATGGTTAACCAGACATTTCTGTTGCATGTTTAATGGGATGTAAGGATGAACACTAATAAGCATCTGATTATTTGAAAGTACATTGAACTGTTACCAGATTAAAAAATGGTTTAACAGTTCAGAATAAGAGTTCATCCAAAAACAAAAGGTGTGCTGTGGTATATGCATTGATTTAGAAAATAAACATTTATTTGTTAAGTACTAGACTGTTTCGTTTATGCTTAACAATAATTTTTGATAATTAATTGCAATAGTTTGGGGCATACAAGTTTTTTCCATCCATTCCCTAAATGATCATTAACATACTGTGCCTCAGTGGTATCTTAAGGTAAGTGAGCATTTTTAATTCTAATAATAAAATAATTCCTATTTGATTATTTTATACAAATAGTGGGGACTTTTTAATTATATAAGGATGTTTAAAAGTATATATCTTTTAAGATTACAATTTTTTGTTGGCTTTTATGTTGCTTTTGTTCTCTCTCTCTCTCTCTCTCTCTCTCTCTCTCTCATGTTTTTATTTTTCAATTTTTTATCATAGTATGTTTAAATAAAATTGAAAATAAAATAATATGCTCCACATGTAATGTGAAAGGAATCTATAGCTGAACTGGAACTGTTGTTGGCCTGGCCCAGAAAACCAACCTGCAGTAATCCAACTGACGCTGAGTTCAGCTATAGATCTCAGAGAACATTTTGTCCCCGTGGGATGGCCATCCACATTTCCCAGCTCCACATTTCACACCTTTGGCTGCTGCAGGTGGAAACCTCAATGTCAAAAATGGGTAACCTTTAATAGACACTACAGAAAGACAGAGAGAAGACTTATACATGGACCTCATTTTCAGCAAGGTCAGCTTTAAAAATGATTACATTCCACCCTTTTTCTAGGGGCTCAAGGTGGCTTATATGGCGCTCTCTCTTCATTTGATTCCCATAACAACTCCTCAGTGAGGTAGGTGGAGGGTTGGGAGGGACTGGTCCAAAGTCACCCAGCCCATCTTCTGAAAGTGGATTTGTTTGTGCTTCCTTGTTGATTAGGTGGAGAGAAAGCAGATTGGCCCAGGTTGACCTGCAACAACCACTGGAAGGCAACATGGAAGTGTCCTAGAGCTTTAAATGCCAGTTTTATCTTTATTGAAAATTCAGATTCCAATTGGTTTTCTTGGACTTAATCCCCAGTCCCTTTCAGAGTCCCTCGGGCACGTGATCCCCATTACAGTCAGTACACATTGACCTGTGCCTGACCTGTGGTTTTTCTCTCCCCCCTCCCCCACTTGCACAGCAGAGAGATTGGAGAGGAAGGGATCACAAGAGAGTAAGCTGGCACACAATGGGGAATACACTGGACTGTTTGTGTAGTTGCCCCCAGCTCCCAGTCCCAAGCACATTTGGGGCTGCCAGCACCACCGCATTCCTTTCGATGTATATATCCCATGGTGTTGGCCTCAATTGTGGTTGTTAAATGAGAGCTACTTGTAATTGCAATAATCAGCAATGGCCTCTTGACTCCTCCTTAACCTTCCTGTGCATTTTTAGATGTGATTTATTTATGGGCTTTTTAAAACTTGCTCCTTTTTGTGATACATCAGCTGCAGTGTGAAAAGCATTTCACCTGCGGTTGGCTAGATACATTTCCTCTCTAAATATTTAGGGCGAGAACATCAGAAAAGAAATAGAACAGATACTTACTTTTTGTTCTTATAGGAAGTTACCTATTTCACAGTTTTGTATGGCTTTCAAAGGCAAACTATGAAACAGAAAATGACCAATTCCAAAACGCTCAAGCGTTGAGAATCTAAATGTCTAAAGGATAATAATAGGATTTAATTTTGCAAATATGCAGCTAAATTTTAATCTGAGTTTGAGAGACCACAAATGAATCAATACCATGTACTGCAAATGAATTACAATATTTGATCTTTCTTAAGTGACATTCTTAATTCTCTGGGAATACAATGTCTTCCTCCCCCTGGCCTGATACCATTCAGATGTGGTTCTACAGTTTCCACCTGTGCTGACTAGAATGACTGAAAGATATCTGCTGACTAAGGTATCTGGACAGGCACTCGGCTGAACAGAGCAGAATTGAAAGAGATATACTGTATTAATTAATTGATTGATTTATATAAAATACCAGGGAAAGAGTACTTTTTCCACAGAGGTAAGGTCTCTTTTTGCGCCCTTCCCTGGCCTGATGTGCCAGCCATTTTGCTTGGACTGCAGCTCCCATCACACAGACATCCATGAACTTGCCATACAAGGGAAAGATGAGGGTTGTTTCAGTTCAACTTATTTGAAGGGCACCAGAAGGAAGGCTGATCTATACTATGTAAGGCTCAGCAGGACAAAGGAGCCTGTTTTAATAATACTGGTGGCTTGTCAGGGACTCAGGTTCCAGGTGGGCCCTTCTGTTGGGCCAGACTGGTGATTTATGGGTTTGAGCTCTTAGTGTTTCCCACAGTGGATACCGATGCAGGATCCTGATCCTTCAGGCAGCAGCCAAAACAGTGGCAGACTAGTCATGGTTTGTCTAGGCTAGCAGTGGGTTTTCAGACACAGCCAGCTGCCTTTGGAACACCCCAGTTAACAACGTAGACCTTTCCTTTTGCTGTCCCGCAATTCTTTGCTTCCAACATGTGGGATCTAGAGGTATATTGCCTCTAAATCTAAGGGTTCCTTTTAGCTATTGTAATAACTTTCTGTATAGAAAACAGTCACCAGAGCTTACTTTTAAAAAACAAAAAGCTAAAAAGACAAATCCCAAGTCCAGTAAGATCCAAGAATTGTTCATTTCTAATTCAAGGATCCATGTAATCCAACAGCAGCATATAGACAGAGTCACAGGTTGGAAATTAGAACATTATTTGCCATAAAGAGCCAGTTATAAGCGCCATCTCTTTAGCACTGACTATCAGCTTGACTGATTGGCCAAGTCACACTTTTGTCTTTCAAGCAGAAGTTTGACTTCCTTTGCTCGACTCTTCGTAATATGTGACCCTTTGCTGGGCTCCAGGCCTTGGACCTTGCCTTGCTCAAGCTCTGGGTCAGCCGACTCAGCCCACACCTGTGCCTCCTCAGGATGCTACCTTTAGCTAATTCCTGTGGGTCAAGCTCTTGAGCTTCTGAATGTGAAAAATCAGACCGATCTCTATCATTGTGAAAGAGAGGAAAGTGCTGGGCCAAGGTTGGGCATTTCAATTCTTCTGCAAAGCCTCCATGGATCTTCCCTGAAAATAGCTTGTGGACATCTGAGATCTGGAGCCGCAGTGTGAGAACCACTGTGTTCCATACAGTGATAGGGAAGTCTCTAAGTCAGACATTACAAGGAAGACTTGCACGCACTCATCTCAGTATCAGTGAGGGCAGCTTTCTTGTGGAGGTGGAGTTGCACTGTAACTCCTTTGGCTTCCTAATGTCTGTAGGGGGCTTCCTAAAGCCTCCCCAGAGTCAGCAATTTGGGGCAGATCTGTTTTGGGGATCTGCAGGTTAAGGGGCACATTTTGCCCCTTAACTGTCCGATGGGAAAATGTGCAAGGCTTAAGGCAGCCATTGTGCCATTCAACATCCCCCTCCAAAAATACAAAACAAAAAGCAGCCTAAAATTTTGGCTTCCTATAACGAAGCTCACGGGCTGCAAGTTGCCATCCTCCGCTAAACGCGTGGCTTCATTTATGGTTAACAATCACTTCTATTGGATGAGGGAGAGAGAAAAACATTTCTCTTCACATTTCCTGATTAAGGCAGGCACACTGGCCCTTAAAAAAACTCCTACCAAATAGGTTTTCGTAATTTGATAAATAACAGATACACACCTTCAGGTGGCATTCCATATGGATGACCTTTAGGCCTGTTTGAAAGAGAAACTACAAGCCTGTGACTGCAACTTACTTGGTATATCTAGGGATTCACAGTGAGATCAGCACTAATGAAGCCAAGGTTCCTATTGTTGAACTGATAAGCCACAAGGACGATTGCTCAAAAAACAAGAAGTCATAATCACATGATTGAAGAGAAATTCTGGAGCCCTGTGTAATGGATGGCATTTTTTCAGGGGTGGGTGGACAAAGCATTATTTTGCCCTTACATAGGCTGGTGGGAACAATGAAGCATGAGGCATTATGTTTCACTTTCATTTTTCTCCATCAATCAGCTTGGACGGTAAATTTTGTAATATCCTTACGGGAGACGTGATCTGCCCTTGTGACTTAGGAGAGCTTGAGAACCTGATTCGTTTCTGTGGCACTGCTCATTTTATCCAGGTATATGTACCTCTCAATTTTTCATTAATAGACCAGGTAGATCTGATCTATTTTACAGCCACTCACCCTGCTTTTAATGGCAGATACAGATTTAGCTGAGACAGGCCAAATGTTGTGCTGCTGTTTGTCAAGTCCACCAATTGACTCTTCAGGCATTTGATGGGGGATGAGTTATTTAGGCCTGGAGTTTGCCAGCATGTTTTTCATGCTGATGGTCTGTGTGCTTGATTTAATCTTTTGTGGGACTAGTGGGGATCTGAGGATGGCATTTTTCAGAAAAGCATTTAAAGAACATATGGCATAAGGAGAAAGCCATTCTGTCTACTCCCCCAGGCATTCATGCCATTGTCTGGCTGTCTAGAACAGTGTTTCCATTCTCGGCTGCTTTGAAAAATATGGACTTCACCTCCTAGAATTCTTAGCAATAGCAATGCTGGCTAGCGAATTCTGGAAGTTGAAGTCCACACATCTTAGATACACTGGTTTAGAAACTACATTTTTGCTGCTTCTTTTTTTTTATTTTCCTAGAATTGCTATGGGGAAATGAGATTTCATGTGTATATATGGGTGCATGGCTTCAGAGGAAAAGAAGGTGGAATATAAATTTAAAAAGTACTAGGATAATACTGGTTTGATAGGCATGGTGAGCTTAGGTTTGTATGTAGACATTCTGTTCATGCTCTTGTGAACTGTTGATGCAGTCCATGATACATTTGTCTGCAAAGGCATGGTTGAACCTGTTTGTTTGACCTGTTCACTGCGATTCTTCTGTCCCTTTATCGTTTCACGGGTAAAAAGAAGCATTGTATTGTCAAACTGAAAATGCAATTCTTCATCGAACACAATTTGACTAAGCATGATGTCTGAACCCAGTCCCAAACATCCAACCAGGTCTGAATTCAGCAGCAACCAGCATTTTTTGTTTCCTGAAGAAGTCATATATGAAGACTACTGATTCATTGTATTTTCTAACTATCAAGAAATTTTTTGACAGCTGTACAGAAACCTGGTTGGTTGGTCCTTGTCATCATCATATCTCCACAACATTGGCTTAATCCAAGTGGAAGGAGTGGGAGATCTAAACAAATATTTCAGAGAATAAGTCATCTTATCTCTTCCCTCTTCCCCCACCCCCAAGTTAAAAACCTCCCTCAAGCAGGAAAAAGGAGATAAAAAATACATAAGTACCAGAACTGGTTACGTGTGTAGAGGAGTGGTGGCTGATGAAAGCTGCATCAGAAAAGTTTGCTTCTCTTGCTGGAAGGAATCGTGTCTTAGGCTAAAATGAAATCACCACTTCATTTCTTAGAACTTCTCGTGCAAAAAAATCCCACAAATATTCCCACCACTCAGGGCACATTACATATGACACTGCATCAACAGGTAATTTCGCGGGGCTTCTTCTTAAATACACATGACTAAGAAAGGTAAAATAGTAGCCTTGGGCCTTTGCGCTCCTCGTGTTTTATGAGTTTGAGACAGATTTCAACACACAGGGATGCAACACCCATGACTCAGCACAAGAGGAATATATTAAAACCAATTAATTGACAGATTGGGACTGCCCAGTCTCAGTCAAATCAGAAAAGGAATAGTGAAGCTAAACTAAAGCCACACCTCTTGAATTTTATTCTGCCATTTCTCTTAAAGGAACAGCATATCTCTTTGGGGAATACAGGTCACATAAAATACAGAGGCTTGCCAGATCCAAAATCTAGATGCCACTAAGGGGCACCTTTTGAATTTTTACCTGCTGTGTGTCTAGCAGAACAAGCAGGTGGTTAAATCAGCTCTAAGTCTGCATCTGCCTTCAATTCCAAGTTTATTAAAAAAAAACACAACTTCTTCTGACTTCTGACCCTCATCATAGAAAGAAATATATATATATATACTTCTCCTTCCAAAGCCAAATATCTAGGCAGAAACCTTGGGAAAATAACGCAAACCAGAGGAAAGAATCATCTGTAAACATTTTGATATTCTTTGGCAAAGCTGGTATGTGTGTGCAGCCAAGTGGAATGTTGCTGGGATTCTGGAATAGATCAAGTGATGTCACTTTCTTTAAATATTTATATCTGTTATTCTGTCATACACTCTCCAGAGTTTATGGATTGGGGAGGGATAAAAAAAGAACTGTAAATAAATAAATAAATAAATAAATAAATAAATAAATAAATAAATAAAAGGAAGAGCCTCTTCATGTCAAGCCTGAAGAGATTTCAGATTGTGTAGATCAACACTCAACAAATAGCAGTTCATGTGATGTAACTGTAATTGAATTTTACACTTTGTACTGGGGTGGTGCAAGATATTGTATGTTTGATGTGCTTTATTACATTTCTTCTCCACTGTGGGCATAAAGAGAACAGGGCATAAAGCTCCAGAGAGTTAGCAGCAATAATAAAGGATCTTATGGCTAGCAAATTTATCATACCCTAAACTTTCATGGACTAGAGTTTACCACTTCAGATACATCTTATGCTGTTGGTGGATTTCCACTCCACTTGGTTAAATGTCATAGATTTGGCATAAACCTCCATGCTTCTGATGAAGTAGATTCCATTTTATAGAAGGTATTGATGAAAAGATTAAGTTCTCTGATAAACCTGGATTGTGAGATGGCTTAGCAAATGAAACAACTTGCACAAAGCACAGGCACTCAAATCTCTCCTTATCCAGGGGTTAGTTGGCAGAAAAGAACTGGATTCTTTTTTCCTACCAAATCAGCCAGGATGAAGGTATTATGATTCAGATTTATGCAGGATTACAAAACAAACCTGCAGGCTTCTTGGTGGCTTGCAACACATTGCCCTTTCTAGCATTTCCTAATTCTTCCATGGTGTACCTCATGCTCATATGATACACCCAACAGATACTGTGCTGTATGATTTGTTGGGCCTCCTCAGCAACAATTCCATTTTGGAAGCAACTGGCCACCCACACAGGAAGGGCTTCAGAGTAGAAGCTGCCTAGATAGAAAAAGGCAGCTTAAACAGAGAAAGACTTGTTCTGGCCCCACAGATTTGTTTTTAAACATGTTTCTTTGTCATATCACAGATGTTTCTTAGTTCCAAAGTCACTGAAATTCCAGACCTGGAGTCCTACCATCCATCCGTCCATCCATCCATCCATCCATCCATCCATCCATCCATCCATCCATCCATCC